GGGCTTCTCTACGAAAGCAGATTGGTCAGCAGAAGAAACAGAAGCTATGGGGGTGAGAGATGCGCTTGTAGGAGCCATTGCGGCAAGATGGCAGAAGGTGGAAGTAGTGACGGATTCTCTCAGTGTGGTTCAGAGCGTGAAGACGAAGACGGAAGGGGCAGCTTATATTCACTTGATAATTGATGATATTAGGAGGATGCTGGAAACAAAGAGTAATTTTGATATCTCTTTTTGTAGAAGGTCTGCGAACGATTTATTGAATTAATATATTGTTGTTTTGATGATAAAAAAAAAAGTAACAAAATTTGCGAATTCTAAAATAAAAATGTTATATTTTTAATCACTAAATATGATAATTGTTGTCATATTTTGGACATTAACATACTTAGTATTTCTCAAACTTGATACTAATTATTCATATTTACATAATAACAACGTGATAGTACTACGACTTAATTATGAATTACTCTAGAGGATACAACATTTTTACGAAAGTCTAAAACTTGTACCAATGTTACACAAGAACATGAAAATCATGGGGGGGGGGGGGGGAATCAGGGAGTAGCAAAACAACTAGATGGAAAATTACTACGGACTACGGAGTAAAGAGTTTCTGCAATGTACTGTTTTCCAAGAATTTCCTTGTTTTAGGCAAAAGATATACTCCCTCCGTCCCGGAAAATTATTCCTGCATTGACTTGGAATGGAGTTTAAGAAAGTGAGAATAAAGTAGAAATGTATGGTTGTGGTTGAGTAAGAAAAATGTAAATGAATTGTAGCCACAAAAAACTTTCCAAAAGGGGAAAGTGGAACAATTTTTTGGGACGGCCCAAAAAGGAAACCGGGAACAATTTTCCGGGACGGAGGGAGTATAATCAAGACTGCTTATTACAAAAGTTTTTAGTACGGAGTAGACTAGTAGAGGGAATCAGGGAATACCATTTACTCTTATACAATGTTTTTAGTACGGAGTCAAAGTTTAATACAAAGCTAAAAAATGTTAAATTTGTAAGAATAGAGGGAATCAGGGAATACCATTTACTCTTATCAAAAAAACTTCTCCTTCCCTGTCCAGCAATTGGAGCAGATGAATAGAGGAGTTTGGCCGGCTCATATTTAAACCCCATTTATGACGTTCAACTACTTCTTCCATATGCATATATACCAGCTGCTGCTGCTACTCTTATCATTACATACTCCTATTCACCCAAAACACAAAAAAGGAAAGAAAAAAAGAGGAGAAAATGGTGTCAATGGCAAAGCAGCCGGACGGCGGTCTAATCTACAACTTGAGGCTGTCTTCGGTTGGACCGGGGCAAGTCACGGGCCAAGACGAGGTGTACGAGCCCACTAACGTGGACTTAGCCATGAAGCTTCACTACCTAAGAGCGGTGTACTACTATGAGAGGGAGGCCTTTGATGGGCTGGGCGTGCTGAAGATCAAGGAGCCGCTGTTCACGCTGCTGAACCACTACTACGTGGTTTGCGGGAGGTTCAGGCGGACCGAGTCGGGCCGCCCGTTCCTCAAGTGTAACGACTGTGGGGTGAGGTTCATTGAGGCCTCTTGTGACAAGAGTCTGGAGGAATGGATTGAGATGAAAGATGCTGGGCTTGAGAGGCTTCTTAGTCCTAATGGAGTCATTGGTCCAGAGATCTTCTTCTCTCCCCCTGTTTGGCTTCAGGTACCTAAGCTACCTTCTATTTCCCTTTATGATATGATAAAAATCACAGAATCAACTTACATTCAATGAGTGGAATTGAATTTAAATTTAATAAAAACTTAAAGGTTGTTATCCTATGGTAATTACTATCTGAATTCAAGTGAATGCACTTAAAGTTTATTAAGATAAAATTGAACCTCAATAAATATGTTGATACTTCTTGAACTCTGACTTGGGGATTCTCCGTCTAAAACTGAGTTATTGGAGGTAGATTTTCGTAATTTCTCTGAAATATACCTAAACTTTGTTTAGAATTATGTTCTTTGTCACAAAATGAAAAACAAACAGGTTGAAACTAAAGTTAAAAATAAATCAACTTAGATTCACTTGGAAAAAACATACCTTTAATTCTATTTTTGTGCCCCATACTTCACTAGCTCACTTATCAATATTTGAAAGAAAAAAAAAACTACTCATAGGTTTTGGTGAGTTTTATCTTGCTACACCACTAATAAAGAAACTCTCATTTACTAATGTGAAGTTCATAATTTCACAAGATTCTTAAAATGAAATAAAATGAAATTAAGAGCTAGATTCAAACATTAAGAGAACAATTTGATCTCGAAGAAGAGTAAATCTATTCAGTGGCAAAATAAAAATTAGAATATCTGGTAAAAAGTTGTGTAATAGAAAAAATGAAAAACAATTTAAATTGATTTTCATCCGCTTCAAATTTTTAGCTTTAAAATGCTAAATGATACTTCAAAACACTACTTTTGAAAATTTTAAAGCTAAAAACTATAAAAGCACTTTTTTAATCCATGCAAAACACTACTTAAGTATCCAATTTATGTATGCGTGTGCAATTTTGCAGTTAACCAAATTTAGGTGTGGGGGAGTATCGTTGGGCCTGAGTTGGTCGCATATTCTTGGCGATGCATTCTCTGCGGCAAAATTCATGAATATGTTCGGAAAAGTCATTTCCGGAATCGAACCTGAATGGCTGATCCGTTCGGCCCAATTAATGACTAAGGACCTGACCCACCAAGATGTTGCAAAAAAAGCAAAAGATCCGCTATCCATCAAGAAGGTAAGCCCAGTTGGAGATCATTGGAAGATAACGAACAATTGCGAAATGGTACCATTCACGTTCTCCATCACCCCATCACAAATGGGCCGCATAAGGTCCATAATAGGAAACTACGGTCCATTTGAGTTGATATCGTCGATCATTTGGCGGTCAGTAGCCCGCAACAGAATTGGGCCTGAACCCAGAGTGGTGACAATATGCAAGAAAGGCCCACAGGCCCGCAAAAACAGCTATGTGAGCAACGACCAGCAGATCTGCACTGTGAAGGCCGCCGACTCCTCCTCCGTCAGGGAAGCCGATCTGCCGGAGCTGGCGAAATTGCTGAAGCATGAGGCTACGGACAAGCTCCGAGAGATCGACGAGGCGGTGGCGAGAGACGGCGGCAACTCCGATTTCGTGCTCTACGGGGCGAACTTGACGCTCGTCGACATGGATTACGGCGAGTTCTACGAGCTCGATTGGAGAGGGCACAAGCCAGTCTACGTAAGCTATCAGATCGACGGCGTTGGGGATGAAGGCTGCGTTGTGGTGCTTCCGGGACCAGGCGACGGTGCGGAAGGAAGGGTTGTGACGGTGGTTTTGCCGGAGAATGAGGTGACGGCCTTGAAATCCGAGTTGAGGAAGGAGTGGTCGATTGCCTAATCAATTGATTGAACAGAAATACATCAACAACCTTCCTCTGTTTAAGTGAATTGAATCCAGTGTGTTGTTTACTTTGAACCATATTTGCATTTGTTTGGACGTATTCTTTGGGCTGAAATTTATGGGTTGAGATGGTAGAATTATGCGTTTCAAATGTTATCTTGGATTCCAATAATATCTAGAGAATTTATCCTAAATGAGACTAATTAGCTTTCCTAATTCCAAAATGAGACTCTTTGACTTTATTTCTAAAATGGGACTCCGATGCTCCTTATTAAAAATGAGAATCAATTCATGTTCCCTTCGTCGTTAAAAATGGGACTCTTTGACTTTAATTTAATCGTTCATTCGCATTAGTTTAATTTCAAATCAACCAATCTCGCACATCACATTTATTTTATTTATTTCTTTTTAATCGCAGAATTTATTTAATCTTTAATTCCCTTTTATCTGTCCATGTGGAGACGATACTCGTACTTTTCACCACTATTCTACAATCTTTTTTAAGTGCGAGAAAACTCGCATCATCCAACAATCTAGATAACTCCATATAAATCTCATATTGTCACAAATCTAAAAAAGTCTCAATAAGTCTCAAATGAATACACCTCGCTAAGACCATTTGGAGTGGTGAGGTATTAGGAGTCCAAAATGTTAAAACTGATATTTTTGGACTCCTAATTTCATGCATTTGTTGATTGAAGAGAGTATTAAAAATGGGTTTGGGGATGGAAGGGATGACACCCATCCCTGAGGGCCCCCCAACACCGATCGGACGACACGATGGGGGGTGTAAATTGGAATATCATCACAATCTGACAAATAGAGAGTGGGCTCCGTCTCCGATACTTACAGAGATCCTGTGCATTTTTTGCATAGTAACATCTTATCACAGTTGACGGGATTCGAACTCGAGACCTAACCATTGTGGCACTCTCTCGCTACCGATTGAGCTACGCCCACCAGCAGGTTTGAGGAGGGAAGGAGTTATATTTGGAGGAATTTGGACAGTCAAAAAGAAAATGAAAAAGAAATAAAAAAAAAGATGCCGGATGGCAGGTGTGCACAGGGGTGATGATTTGGACACTGATAGAACGGGAAAAAATTGATCCAAGGGCTGAAATTGAAATCCAACGGCTAAAATAATTTATTTTATTATTTTATTATTTTTAATCAATATTTTATCCGAAAAAAATATTAATGAAATTTATTTATTTTTACATTGAAATGTGTCTTTTTTATTTAATAATTAATCAAAGAAAAAATTAAAAGGAAAACATTACCCATAATAATTTAATTAATGTTTTACTAAATTGATATGTAAAAATATGTGCAAAGTGTATTTTATTGACGGTGCAAGAATGCAGAGAAATAAGAGTCAAAACACTGTTTTCATATCGACGAAGTCCATTTTTGACATTTAGACTCTTGCACCACTCCAAATGGTCTAAATGCCACATAGGCATCATGTGTTATACGAAGTATTACTTATATCATACGGAGTAATGTACAATATACATGTGAAATAATAAGATTGCTCTCATGTTTTAAGAGGGATATATAAGCATATATCCAGCTTTAAGAGGGATATATAAGCATATATCCAGCTGTGTTCCAATGTTGAACAAACCTCAAAGGAGTGAAAGTGCAAAAACAGCCATGTGAAATACTTGATATTATGTGTGAGGGAGAAAGGAGAAAACTGAATAAGCAGAGGGGATAAATATCTTCCAGAGAGAATCACATATTTATACATTTATTTTAGAGTGATTCTGACTCTTAGGAAGGAAAAATGATGAATGAAAACCTAAGTTTCTTATCTTCCTAAATTTGATTACTAGAAGCAAAACTACTATACACTACTGATATACATTAACATCATTTTGATTAGGACGAGTCTTCATCCCTTTGCCTGCGCATTCTAGCTCCCCAAGATGTACCGCCATTGGAGTCCTTAAAATTGCTTCTTCTCTTTAGTTCAGAAAGTTGAGACTGCCATCGAATACTCCATTCAACGTCCACTTCTATTGGCTAAAAGAAGAAAGAACAAACCAGGTTAGTTTTAGAAACCGTAATAATGCTGAAAGTGGTCAAATCACCATTTTTTCGGCTGAAACTTCATTTACCAAACACCCCTACATGTTTGAAATTCCCAAAATAGAATATCATTCCTTTTCTAGCCCTCCTATTTTTATCTCCTCTTTCTGCTCTTCTGATCAGGATTCTCCTCTTCTTCATTTTGGATGAGGGCATTCAGTTCATTACTTCATTGTACAAGTTATTTCAACTCAGTTTAACCATACTCTTTTTTTTAACTCTAAATTGCTATTTACTATTGTTCCTACTTACTATAATAAGTCCAACCAACACATGAACTTAAACTTCTGCTTAGTTCCTTACTTCTAAATTCTTTTCACATAAAATTGTAATTTCACTCCCACATAATTCTTGCCCATCAACCAACAAGCCGTAAAGAATGGTCAAACAGCAAAGCTATCATTAGAATGTGCACAAATACTTAACATATGCTTTTTTTTACTTTTCTTGATCTGTACAAACTCCTCTTACTGTTTATCGAATTATCACCATCTTTCTATGATTCTATAAGTTTCCAAAACCAAAACTATTGTAGTTCCTGTAATTAATGCGGCCAAGATTAAAGTCTCAGAGAAAAATGCCTCATAAAGTAACTTTCTTTAATCACAAAGGTATTAAATACGCAGTAGGAAGTACTGTATTACACAATTCAACACAATTGAAGAAAATATCGAAGAAAAATTGGGGACCAAACCTTATTTTCACGACGCCTACGTGATGAAAAGGCGTAGTTGAGGCCTTTCGCGATATCTCTGTCATACAGAGCCCTTCTCCTCGGATCCGACAGCGTCTCGTAAGCCTCCTGGACCCGAATGAATCTCCGGGTATGCTCCTCGACCCGGTCCGGAGGTGAGACGTCGGGGTGATACTTCCGGGCGAGCTGCTTGTACGCGTGTTTGATCTCCGGCAGAGAGCCCGTCTCGGATATTCCCAGAAGGTCGTAGAAGGAAGCCGGGTCGGCGGACGAGGAGACGTCGTTAAGCATGGATCGGACTTTGATGGGCGCAATTTGCAGCCGGGGATTGAAGCGTTTGACAGGAAAGAAGACGGCAGGAAACGGGTCGGGTTGGAAAGTCGAGCTGGGAGGAAGAGGGGAGAAGCGAAAGTTGCTTCTTGATAGTGTTGTGCCGTGGGAATTGCTGCACATCTCTCTTTCAGCGGGTTTAGTTGAACCTCAAACGGACTTTGTTGGAAAATAGAATTGGGTTTGGAATGGATAGAAGTTAGAGGTTAACATTAATTAATTGTAATTTGATGCCTTAATAGATTGGTTGGCTGCTTCAACAAGTTTGAAATTATAATACAGTACTATGTAGTTGTTGGTGGCATTTTGTCACGAAAGACGGCATCATATTAACGTTCAGGAAGGGACAAAAGAAGCACTTTCAGCCGCCTACCATCGGACCAGCCTGAGAACCAATCACCTTAAATCGAACAATGTGATTTGCATATAGATACAAAAATTAATTAGACGTAGTAATTTGCATAGAGCATGATAGATCTGACTACTCTGAAAAAACAATTAATCGTAAAATAGGTTTTGCCGTTTTGGTATATTACATGGTATTCGAACCATCTACGTTTGCATCAATAGAATAATTTAGGCCATGTTTGGCACACAAAAGTCTCTGTCTTCTAGCTTCTTTTTTCTTTAAAAAGACCTTAAAAGACTCTAGTTATATGTTTGACATGACATTTTTAAGAGTTTTTCAAAAATTAAAAGATCTTTTTTGAGATGCTACCGGGTATAGCATCCGAGAAAAGCTCGTGACTTTTAGTATTAATTAGTTATAACAGCTTGTATACCAAATCGAACTAAATCAAACAGTCAGTTTTTTACCAAACAGCTATCACCTTTTCTTTTTAAGATCTTTTCAGTCACTAAAAGCTAACAGTTACTAAAAAGCTCATAAAAGTATCTTTTCAGCTAGTTGTGCCAAACATACCCTTATACTAATAACTAGTTTTGTAACGCGTGTTGCATGACCGAAAATGCCCAATAATATTTGTATAACATATTTGTACAACTACGCATGCCAAAACTATGATATGTTCGTGCTTCCTCATGAAACTCACTAAACAAATTTCACGTGTTGGGATACAAATTAGAGAAAATAAATGTTGATCTAAGAAATATATCAATATTGTAGTTGTCTTATAACCTAGAGCAATACAAAGCACAATGAAAAAATCAAAATCATAGTAGCCTGAGCCAGGGATGGGTCTTTACAAAAAAAATGGAAAAATATTTACACTAAATTTTTTACATCAAAATGATTTGCTTAATCATAAGTTGAACAATTTGAGTAGGTAAAATATAATAACTTACTTTGTAACACTCAAACAAATAACATCAGTGTTCACCAATTTGTTAATCATTGTTTCCAATAAATAAAAGATCTATTCCAAACTTAGGCTCTGTTTGCAAACTCTATTTACAAGTGCTTTTGGCTTTTTTTAAGAAAAAAACACTTATTTTACCAAACACTATCAACTTTTACTATCTCGGTTTTCGTGTAGAATCTACTTTTTACTTTTTCTATTACACAAAAAGCACTTATTTTACCAAACACTACCAACTTTTACTACTAATCACTTTTTCCCAAAAAGTGCTTTTGTTTAAGCACAAGTGGTTGCAAACAAAGCCTTAGACACGATTGAAGATCCGTCTAACTCTCGGACAGGCCTTATTGAGGGCTTGTTTGCAATCAATTAAAATAAGTGATTTTGGCTTTTTTTTTAAAAAAAATCACTTATTTTACCAAACACTATCAACTTTTACTTTCTCGGTTTTCGTGTAGAATCTACTTTTTACTTTTTCTATTACACAAAAAGCACTTATTTTACCAAACACTACCAACTTTTACTACTAATCACTTTTTTCCAAAAAGTGTTTTTATTTAAGCACAAGTGTTTGCAAACAGAGCCTGAATGTTACGGAGATAGTACTCCATATCAATTATCAAGTCTCATTTTTCTTACGATGTACTTTTTTTACTCTCTCAATCCCATAAAATTCTTTCAATTTTTCTTTTGGATCGTTTCAAAGAAATCCTCTCACTCATCATTTTTGGACAATTTGTGTGGTTCACACTCATTTTACTTTTTTTCTTAGACAACTACAACAATACATTTTCACTTTACTCTCACTTCCTTAATTTGCGTGTCCAGTCAATGTGGGAAGAATTTGTTGGGACGGAGGAAGGGAAGTAGTTTTTTTCTTACGACTTTCCTAAACAAATTCATACTGAGCATTTTCTAATTTCTAAGAGGCATAATAAATTTCAAAAGGAAGCAAAGATAACTAATAGAGATTTTACCCAAAATGGGACTAAAAGAGTTTGGAAATTCCAAAATAGGACTTCCATGTTTTTATTCCCAAAATAGGACTAATAATGTCATGTTTTGGCAGTACCAGACTTTAAACATGGCAGTATTTTCCAAATTTGGCAGTAATTAGTCCTATTTTGGGAATAAAAACATGACAGTCCTATTTTGGAATTTTCAAACTTTTTTAGTCCCATTTCGGGAACTTTCCCTAACTAATACAAGTACGCTGTAATATACGATAGTAATAAATAAACAAAAGGTTTGAACGAAAAAACCTGAATATCAACTCTAACTTTTAAACTATCGAACTATGGATTAAGTATTAAAACATAATTTATTATGTACATATATTTATTCATTTATTTATTTATTTATTTATTTATTTATTTATTTATTTATTTATTTATTTATTTATTTATTTATTTATTTCATATATATGTACGTACATATCACTATCTATTAAATTGTACATAATTATCTCCCCATTGTATAAGAAGGTTGTTAGAGCTCCTTAGCCATCATACGGAGGTAGTTAATTAGATGATCTTATCTCATGTAACCCAAGTGTATATAAATACACTATCGTGAACATATCAATATACAACATTCATAATCTCTTCATGGTATCAAGAGCCAATCTTTAAAAAGCAGCTTCCCTTGTTCACTATGTCACTATCACTGCTACTACACAGGTCATCTCCCTGACCGCCACAACCCATTTTCCGATTAAGCTCACCACCTCCAACTTCCCGGTGTGGAAATGTCAAGTCCATTCTGCCCTTGTTGGTCTTGGTCTCAATGCTTATGTCGATGGCACCATCACTATTCCCGATCAGTTCCTTGATACAAACAAAACCCAACTTAACCCGTGTTACACCATTTGGTATCGGCAAGACAAAACAATTCTCAGTGCGCTTCTTGGCAGTTGCTCCGACACCATTCAACCGGTGATATCATCCGCCACCACTGCTCGTAATGCATGGGAGAAATTAACTCTCACATACGCGAGTACCTCACGTGGCTGTATCATTTCCCTTAAAACTACACTTGCCCGCACTCGCAAGGGATCTCGATCCATCCGTGATTATCTTGCCGAGATGTATGCCCTGTCTGAGGCACTTGCTCTTGCCCAAAATCCGCTATCTGAGGAGGATTTGGTCATTAACATCCTTAATGGCCTCGGATCTGAATATAGTGAGATCACTTCGGCCATTCGGGTCCGCCAAACTGCTCTCCCCCTTGCCGAATTACAGGACATTTTATTGGAGCATGAAGAGCGTCTTAGTCAGGCAGCCTTATCCACTGACTCTCTTCTACCAACGGCAAATGTTACCCAGGCAGCCGACCGTCGTGCACCTGCTGATCGTCGTCCTATTAATTATGGTGATCACCGAACAAATTGTTGGGGAATACACGACCCCCGACCTCTTCCAGGATCACCAGCTCAAAGGACTCTTGTACATTACCCACCCACTCGTAACACAAAGATTCAATCTAACAATATCACTTTGTATTATACAATTGAAATGTACAAGAGATATTTTAGAAGTAAACGAGTAGCTCACATCACTCTTTGTATGAGACTACTTCACTCTCACATCCCTCTCTAGAGGAGGCCTTCTCTTACTCAATAGCCCTCCTCAAGGATCTCTCTCTCTCTCATCACTTGAGGAGGCTCTCTCTAGCCTCTCACTCTAGGACCTCCTCATGGCTTTCACTCTAAAGGCTCTCTCATTTAGGAATGAGGAATCTCACCCCTATTTATACAACTCATCTCAAAGTTTCTCTAGAACTTTCTATACATCACTACATTTCTAGATTCTTCCAAGAACTATCCACAAGCTTCTCTAATCTTCTAGAAGGATCTAGAGAACTCCACATCGCTTGAGAATGTTCTAGAGGCTTCCACAAACTTCCGCACGATTCTAGAGAATTGCACATTTCTATAGAAAACTCCACAATAATGTTCTAGAATATTCTACACTCTTCCACACGCTTCTAGATAATTCCACGTCTCTCTAGAAAGCTCCGGAATATTCTAGAACATTCAATATTTCTCTACACACATCTAGAGAATTCTAGACATCTCCGCAATATTCTAGAATTCTCATTAACTTCTCAATTAAGGAGGGAACCCAACAAACCTCTCTCTACCGACTTAATTGAGAAGTAACACTCAACCACCAATACGAGCCTCACATTTAGACTCAACAGTCTTCACCTTGGATATGAGTTGCTCCCCCTCAAACAAAGCTTGCATCACACCATACGAGCAGCCATCAAGGAATGGTCATGATCTCCTCCACAGCAAGAAATGATCCACCAAAGTATCTTGTACCGTCGTTATCTATTAACGGGACACGCCGCCTGATCATCTCAATATCAGGAAGACTTTCGATACAACGCATCAATAGTAGATCAAACCACAAGACCAAACCCTGTAAGTGATGTTCTCCAGAAGATCTCCTCTCAACTGACATGACCAGCAACACTTCTTGTACCGCCGTTGTTTACCAACGAGACACGCCGCCTGACCACCACAACATCAGGAAGACTTTCGATACAACGCACCACTAACAAATCAAATCGCGAGACCAAACTAAGAATCACCCACACAATGCATCTCATCACCGCTCCTCCATATATGTATGACCCAAGCTCTAAAGTGAAGTCCATCATCCCATCAAAGAGCATGATCTTGAATGCCTCTAACAACACTGCTAGCATCACAAATATTATGACGAGATCGATCCCCACGACGAAATCTACCCGTTACTCTACTTCCAACAACCTTGGCTCTGATACCACTGTTGGGGAATACACGACCCCCGACGTCTTCAAGGATCACCAGCTCAAAGGACTCTTGTACATTACCCACCCACTCGTAACACAAAGATTCAATCTAACAATATCACTTTGTATTATACAATTGAAATGTACAAGAGATATTTTAGAAGTAAACGAGT